TAGCTGGGGCCATTTTTTTTTTTTTAGTTGCAGCCATCATTGTTGTTCCGCAGGCCCGGGCTGGGGATTCAAACCCGCCACCTTAGGTGCATGTGGCTGGCACCTTAGCTGCTTAAGCCACAGGCGCCGAGCCATGACTCACTCTTAAGGGCAGAGATTTTTGTTTGTCTTGGTCACTGCTAATCACACCTAGCACATCGTAAACCCTCCATAAATGTTTATTATATGAATGGACTAAGATTATAGTCAGTGCTCCACCACCCACAGACTTTTCCCTTGTAGGATGCAGGCTGTTCTTGCATGATCTGTAGATTTTTCAAAAGAAGACAGAAATTCAGGTATTTTTGAAATCTCCAGTTTAAAGAAAAGAATGTTGACATCTATTAAAAATAGGCTATGTGTGCCAAAATAAATTTTTTTTAAATCCATTGGGGGTGGCTTGGCGCCTGTAGCTCAGTGGCTAGGGTGCTGGCCACATACATGGGACCTAGTGGGTTTGAACCCAGCTCAGGCCTGCCAACAACAGCAGCTACAACCAAACAATAGCCAGACATTTTGGCAGGCACCTATAGTCCCAGCTACTCGGGAGGCTGAGGCAGGAGAATTGCATAAGCCCAAGAGTTTGAGATTGCTATGAGCTGTGACACTACAGCACTCTACTGAGGGCAACATAATGAGACTCTGTCTCAAAAAAAAAAAAAAAATAGCTGGGCATTGTAGTGAGCCGGTATCTCCAAATGCCATCACATGGAGGATTAGGGTTTCAATATGTGAATGTTGGAGAACACTAACATTCAGTCCACAACAAGTGTGATTGTGGTCTGGTCAAGGTAGCCCCCACCTGTGTCTTAGCTCTCTGGGAGGCCAAGGCAAGAGAATCACTTGAGTCCGGGAGTTTAAGACCAGTCTTAGCAAGAATGAGACCTCAAAATAGAAAAAATAAGCCTGTACCCCCATAGTCCCTGCTACTAAGGAGGCTGAGGCAGGAGGATTGCCTCAGTCTCAGAGTCTGAGGTTGCAGTCAGCTATAATGACACACTACACACTAGTCCAGGAAACAGAGCGGGACTCTCTCTCTCTCAACAACAACAAAAAAAAGTGTTATTAATGTTTTAGGGTAATGTTAGGCCAGGAACCCTGGAAGATTCAAAACCTTTTTTTGTTTAAGCTATCCCTAAGTTTGAGGAACAATGTCAAAACATGGCAGATAATCTATTACTGATTAAAGCTTTGAAGTCTCAATCCCTACGCAAAGCTCTGGAAAGGGAAGCAGTTAGCACAGGAGAACGAGTGCTAACTGAATGGTCTACAACAGACGTCAGCAAACCATAGCCTGTGACCCATGAATGGCTTTTAGCATTTCATATGGTTGGAAAAAAATCAAAAGAAGGATATTCTGTGATATTTGAAAATTACATGAAATTCAAATTTCAGTGTCCTGACCCATAGCTTTATTTGAACACAACCCCTGTTGTTCGTTTACATGTTGTCAGTGGCTACTTTTGTGCTCCTTTGGCAAAGTGGAGGAGTTGCAACAGAGTCTTAAATATTTATATGGCTCTTCAGAGGAAAAAGTTGATCTATTTCTTAGATACAAACAAAGCTGGCCAATGGCTTTGCCTAACCTCAAGTGCAAATCTTGGCTAAAAATACCATTGTAAAAGCTACAGAGCCACCCAATAACACTAGAAGAAAGGGATCCAGAGACAGAGAGTATTTACCCCTAAGGCTTAGCATGAGCTGGTTTAGAGATTGCGTACCTCGAGTTTTCCAATGCCAGACCAACCTGGCTGTTGTAAGGAAGAACCAAGAGAGAGAGACATCTAGCCTTACTGGAGGATAAAAGAGGAAGAGAGAGGCACTGTAATTTGCTGTTCAAAGTTCAACCCCTATAAAATACAGTCTAGGGTCCTGGAACTGGGCCAGTATACATGCAGAGTAATCTTCTTAGCTGGACTTGGTGACTCACATCTATAATCCTAGCACTTTGGGAGGCTGAGGTGGGTGGATTGCTTAAGCTCAGGAATTTGAGACCAGCCTGAGCAAGAGTGAGACCCTGTCTCTACTAAAAATAGAAAAAAATTAGCCGGGTATTATGGCAGGCACCTATAGTCCCAGCTACTCAGGAGGCTGAGGCAGGAGGATCCTTTAAACCTGGGAGTTTGAGGTTGCTGTGAGCTAGGCTGATGCCACTGCACTCTAGCCCAGGCAACAGAGTAAGACTCTGTCTCAAAAAATAAAAAAAAAGAAAGAAAGTTATCGGGCGGTGTCTGTGGCTCAGTGAGGAGGGCGCCGGCCCCATATACCAAGGGTGGCAGGTTCAAACCCAGCCCCCGGTCAAACTGCAACAAAAAATAGCTGGGCATTGTGGCAGGCGCCTAGTCTCAGCTACTTGGGAGGCTAAGGCAAGAGAATTGCCTAAGCCCAGGAGCTGGAGGTTGCTGTCAGCTACTTGGGAGGCTAAGGCAAGAGAATTGCCTAAGCCCAGGAGCTGGAGGTTGCTGTGAGCTGTGACATCATAGCACTCTACCAAGGTCAAAAAAGTAAGACTCTATCTCTTAAAAAAAAAGAGAAAGAAAGAAAGAAAGAAAGAAAGTTCTTTCTTTTAAGCCTCCACCCCTGGATTGACACTTACCCCTGAAGTCAAAGCAGGAATGGGAGGTGAGAGTGGTACCCTTTCTAGGGGTTTAACATTCATCAGTGAAAATTCCTGGCATTATTTCCTGTCATGCCACTTCCTTTGTTTCTAACCTGTTTGCGTTTTGTTTTCTCCCTTTGCCACCCTCCCATCCCCACCCCTGACACACAAAGGTGATTTTAAAGGATGTGGACTCCCTTCTCTATGTGGACACCGATGTTCTCTTTCTAAGACCTGTTGATGACATCTGGAAGCTTCTGAGACAATTTAATTCCACCCAGCTCGCAGCCATGGCTCCGGAGCACGAAACCCCCAAGATTGGCTGGTACAGCCGCTTTGCCAGGCATCCTTTCTATGGCTCTGCGGGACTTAATTCAGGAGTCATGTTAATGAATTTAACTCGTATAAGAAGTGCCCAGTTCAAGGTAATGAAGTGCTTTAAGAGTCTTTGTTTAAAGATTGGAGTTAGTCCTCTCAATGACACTCACTTAGAGTGTCATTATGCTGAGTTTGGAAATAGGTGGCCTGTAGGTGAGGACAGAAGGAACCAGAGAAATGTATTTGGAAACTTATGAAATATTTGTTTGTTCAGGAAAAGCCTAGAGGGCTATGGAGTTTAAAGCTTCAGCGGAGTTGCCATTCAGGGATGTTATATTGCAGCCCTGAATTTCATATATTTTAACTCTGTGTATACCCAAGGCTTTAAAGATCATGTAAAATTTCGTGGAATGAGCCTGTGCACACACCCACAAATATTTGTATAAGTGTATGCATGCTTTCTTCTTTATCCTAGCAAAAAACTACAAAGAACCTAAGTGAACATCAGTAGAGAACTAGCCAAAAAAAAGGATCTATTCTTTCTAGATCCTCCTAATCTATAAATTAGATACTAAGATCTCTAAGAAATAAGAAGTGAAAAAAATTTAAATACAGCACATCATGATACTGTAGAATGTGATAGCATTTTTGCCTTGGAAATTTCCAAAAGAATACCGAAGCGAGTGTTGACTGTTTGTTGTGGGTGCTTCTGGGGAAAGTGGGAATGAGTTATACGAAAGGAATATTTTTTTACTTTTTTATTCTCTATCATGTATGTGCTATTTGAATACTTAGTCTATGAATGTGTTGCTTTTCTACTAAATTTAAATCATTCTTTTAAGATGAGGAAAGATGTTTCTCCTTAAGATACCTGAATTCTGCTGTCGGTATTTTGTTTCTTCACTTAACAGACGGGATATAAGCCTAAGAAAGAAGCTCAGTTTCAGGCTTGGTTCTCTGAGTCAAAACTACAGGCCCTAATCCCAGTTCTTGGTCCATCTAGTGCATCTGGCAAAACACTACAATTGCCAGCCCTAATTTTGTGGTGTCCTATGCCCTGGGGATCTCAGGACCCCTCCTTCTTTGCTTCGTTCCACTGTCCCTCTACATTGTTTCTCAGTGGACAAGACGTATTTGCTTTGCTTCAGGTGTTCTGATGGTTTTCTCTTTTCCAGAACAGCATGATTCCAACGGGCTTGGCTTGGGAGGACATGTTGTACCCTCTGTACCAGAAGTACAAGAATGCCATCACGTGGGGAGACCAGGATTTATTAAATATTATTTTTTATTTCAATCCAGGTAGGTTCTCTTTGGAGAATGCCATTTGTGTAGGCAGGTGCCCTGCTTGCCCCCCAGAGCACATTCCAGGGCCTGGTTGCTATTGAGTAGGCCTGGTTTGTGCACAGAGGAGCCTGTGTTCCCCTGGGAAGTTCACCCTTTCATCCAGCACCCCGGGTATCTGACGGAGGCGGGTACTTGTGCTGCTGACACAAAAGGCCAATGTTTGAAACCTCCAACGCTGGACTCCATGTTTAGAGGATATCTTTCAGATTTTGCTACACCATTCTTCTAAGAAGTACAGTCAAAATTGATGTGAGCCCCCACAACTGCTTGACTAGCTTTGACTTTTAAAAAAATTGATGTGAGGCACAAACTACATGAAGAAAATACATTTTTTTTTTCTTTTAAGACAGAGTCTCACTCTTCACCTAGGCTAGAGTGCCCATAGCCTCAGCCTAGCTACTGTCCTGCATCAGTCTCCCAAGTAGCTGGGACTATAGGCACTCACCATGATGCCCAGCTAGTTTTTCTATTTTTAATGGAGACGGGGCCTCACTCTTGTTTAAGCTGGTCTCGAAACCCTGAGCTCAAGACATCCTCACACCTTGATCTCCCAGAGTGCTAGGATTATAGGCCTGAGCCACTGCACCCAGCCTGCATGAAAATATTATAGTCTAGGCAGGAGACCCTTCATAGCCTGAACAGTTACTAGATTGTAGAGAATTGATTCTTAGGGTCCTTAAGTTCTGGGACTTGTGGGGGGTTAAAAGCCTAGAATGAAGACTCAAATCCCCAAATCCTTTCTTTCCCTCCCAATCTGGGACAAAAAAATTTCATCTCATTAAGTCAGTGATTTTGTGGGGTGAAGTCAAGAGGAAAGGGAGATGGAAAGTTCTGGTTTATATTTTTGTATTAACACCGAAAGCTAATCAAATTTCTTTTTTTTCCCTCTTCTTTGTTAAAACCTTATTGATCATATCACTACCAATCAAAACCATGTTTTCTTCTTCTTTTTTTTTTTTTTTTTTTTTTGAGACAGAGCCTCAAGCTGTCCCCCTGGGTAGAGT